TTGATAGAGTCCTAACCTCAACATATGAGGAAAGGGATTTAGGGGTGATTATTTCTGATGACTTGGGTAGGCAGACAATGTAATAGAGCAGCAGGAAATGCTAGCAGAATGCTTGGTTGTATAGGGAGAGGTATTAGCAGTAGAAAGAGGGAAGTGCTCATGCCATTGTACAGAACACTGGTGAGACCTCACTTGGAGTATTGTACACAGTACTGGAGACTGTATCTTCAGAAGGATAATGATACCTTAGAGAGGGTTCAGAGAAGGGCTACTAAACTGGTTCATGGATTGCGGGATAAAACTTACCAGGAAAGGTTAAAGGAATTTAACATGTATAGCTTGGAGGAAAGACGAGACAGGGGGGATATGATAGAAACATTTAAATACATAAAGGGAATCAACACAGTAAAGGAGGAGACTATATTTAAAAGAAGAAAAACTACCACAACAAGAGGGCATAGTCTTAAATTAGAGGGACAAAGGTTTAAAAATATCAGGAAGTATTACTTTACTGAGAGGGTAGTGGATGCATGGAATAGCCTTCCAGCTGAAGTGGTAGAGGTTAACACAGTAAAGGAGTTTAGCATGCGTGGGATAGGCATAAGGCTATCCTAGACTTAAGATAAGGCCAGGTAATGAAAGTATTTAGAAAATTGGGCAGACTAGATGGGCCGAATGGTTCTTATCTGCTGCTTCCCGTTCTCAGCACTCTCTTCCGACCCATTTTTTTGCTCTCCACAATTTTAAAGGGTAATCCAGACGTGAATCCCTTGCTCACGGTGCCTAGGGAGATACCAGCTATGCCTCACTGATGATGCCTAGCAATGCTGAAACGATTGTCTGGGGTTGCTGTGTCTCTCGTGCAGAGGGAACTTGCTGGCATTTTGGATCTGGACTGCCCGTATGGGTGGGACCAGTCTGATATGTTTCAGAGATGTTCTCTCTGTAATGGCACAAGATGAGCAAATACCAGCTTGAGATCTGAGCGGGGACCCACTGAAGGGCAGGCTATTTCAGCTGCTCTCAGAATACTCTTGCGACCCATTTTTTTGGTTCTTATCTCCCGTCACATTCTATGTTTCTATATACACACTATGCTAATCCTAATTGTCCAATGTACACACTGTGCTAATCCCATATGTTCCATATGCACACTGTGCTAATCCCGTCTGTCCCATATACATACTGTGCTAATCCTGTCTGTCCCATATAGATGCTTTGCTAATCCCGTCTGTCCCATATACACACTGTGCTAATCCCGTCTGTCCCATATACACACTGTGCTAATCCTGTCTGTCCCATATACACGCTGTTCTAATCCTGTCCCATATACACGCTGTGCTAATCCCGTCCCATATACACGCTGTGCTAATCCCGTCCCATATACACGCTGTGCTAATCCCGTCCCATATACACGCTGTTCTAAGCCTGTCCCATATACACGCTGTTCTAATCCTGTCCCATGTACACACTATTGCTAAGGCAGTGCTCCACACTGCTATAATCATAACTTTCTTACTTATACACTGCACCAATCCTGCCTGAAATTGAAAAAGGCCCTTGTCACCCTATGTTTTGAAATGTTCGTTTTGAGTAATTTGTTTGTATAGTCATTAACTAGCATTGCACAATGCCAATAGGACTGGAAATATCAAGACTATCATTGAAGTGATTTGACGGTGACAAAAAATATTGTTTTTGCTATAATATGGTGTAAGGAGGTCCCCTGTCTCCCTGCACACAGTGTATTATAACTGCAGCTATAAGGTTATGGTGTAAGGAGGTCCCCTGTCTCCCTACACACAGTGTATTAAAATTACAGCTGAAAGGTTATGGTGTAAGGAGGTCCCCTGTCTCCCTGCACACAGTGTATTATAACTGCAGCTATAAGGTTATGGTGTAAGGAGGCCCCCTGTCCCCCCTTACACAGTGTATTAGAACTGCAGCTATAAGGCTATGGTGTAAGGAGGTCTTTGTCTCCCCACACACAGTGTATTATAACTGCAGCTATACAGTTATGGTGTAAGGTCTCTGTCCCCCTTCACACAGTGTATTATAACTGCACCTATAAGGTTATGGTGTAAGGAGGTCTTTGTCTCCAAACACACAGTGTATTATAACTGCAGCTATACGGTTATGGTATAAGGTCTCTGTCTCCCCACACACAGTTTATTATAACTGCAGCTATATGGTTATGGTATAAGGAGGTCTCTATCTCCCCGCACGCATTGTATTATAACTGCAGCTATAAGGTTAAGGTTTAAGGAGGTCCCCTGTCTCCCTGCACACAGTGTATTATAACTGCAGCTATAAGGTTATGGTGTAATCAGGTCCCCTGTCTCCCCGCACATTGTATTATAACTGCAGCTATAAGGTTATGGAGTAAGGAGATCCCCTGTCTCCCCGCACACAGTGTATTATAACTGCAGCTATAAGGTTATGGTGTAAGGAGGTCCCCTGTCTCCCCGCACACATTGTATTATAACTTCAGCTATAAGGTTATGGTGTAAGCAGGTCCCCTGTCTCCCCGCACATTGTATTATAACTGCAGCTATAAGGTTATGGAGTAAGGAGATCCCCTGTCTCCCTGCACACAGTGTATTATAACTGCAGCTATAGGGTTATGGTGTAAGAAGGTCACCTGTCACCCCGCACACAGTGTATTATAACTGCAGCTATAAGGTTATGGTGTAAGGAGGTCCCCTGTCTCCCCGCACACAGTGTATTATAACTGCAGCTATAAGATTATGGTGTAAGGGGGTCCCCTGTCTTCCCGCACACAGTGTATTATAACTGCAGCTTTTAAGGTTATGGTGTAAGGAGGTCCCCTGTCTCCCCGCACACAGTGTATTATAACTGCAGCTATAAGGTTATGGTGTAAGGAGGTCCCTGTCTCCCCACACACAGTGTATTATAACTGCAGCTATAAGGTTATGGTGTAAGGAGGTCCTCTGTCTCCCCGCACACAGTGTATTATAACTGCAGCTATAAGGTTATGGTGTAAGGAGGTCCTCTGTCTCCCCGCACACAGTGTATTATAACTGCAGCTATAAGGTTATGGTGTAAGGAGGTCCCCTGTCTCCCCGCACACAGTGTATTATAACTGCAGCTATAAGGTTATGGTGTAAGGAGGTCCCCTGTCTTCCCTCACAGAGTGTATTATAACTGCAGCTATAAGGTTATGGTGTAAGGAGGTCCCCTGTCTCCTTGGACACAGTGTATTATAACTACAGCTATAAGGTTATGGTGTAATGAGGTCCCCTGTCTTCCCGCACACAGTGTATTATAACTGTATCTATAAGGTTATGGTGTAAGGAGGTCTCCCCCGCATACAAAGTGTATTATGCAACTTCGGGTAGCTATAAGGTTATGGGGAAAGGAGGTCCCCTGTCTCCCCGCACAGTGTATTATAACTGCAGCTATAAGGTTATGGTGTAAGGAGGTCCCCTGTCTCCCTGCACACAGTGTATTATAACTGCAGCTATAAGGTTATGGTGTAAGGAGGTCCTCTGTCTCCCCGTACACAGTGTATTATAACTGCAGCTATAAGGTTATGGTGTAAGGAGGCCCCCTGTCTCTCCACACACAGTGTATTATAACTGCAGCTATAAGGTTATGGTGTAAGGAGGTCCCCTGTCTCCCCGCACACAGTGTATTATAACTGCAGCTATAAGGTTATGGTGTAAGGAGGTCCCCTGTCTCCCTGCACACAGTGTAATATAACTGCAGCTATAAGGTTATGGTGTAAGGAGGTCCCCTGTCTCCCTGCACACAGTGTATTATAACTGCAGCTATAAGGTTATGGTGTAAGGAGGTCCCCTGTCTCCCCGCACAGTGTATAACTGCAGCTATAAGGTTATGGTGTAAGGAGGTCCCCTGTCTCCCCACACAGTGTATTATAACTGCAGCTACAAGGTTATGGTGTAAGGAGGTCCCCTGTCTCCCCACACAGTGTATTATAACTGCAGCCATAAGGTTATGGTGTAAGGAGGTCCCCTGTCTCCCCGCACACAGTGTATTATAACTGCAGCCATAAGGTTATGGTGTAAGGAGGTCCCCTGTCTCCCCGCACACAGTGTATTATAACTGCAGCTATAAGGTTATGGTGTAAGGAGGTCCCCTGTCTCCTGCACACAGTGTATTATAACTGCAGCTATAAGGTTATGGTGTAAGGAGGTCCCCTGTCTCCCCGCACACAGTGTATTATAACTGCAGCTATAAGGTTATGGTGTAAGGAGGTCCCCTGTCTCCTGCACACAGTGTATTATAACTGCAGCTATAAGGTTATGGTGTAAGG